CAGTGCTGCCTCAGACCCCTCCACCCTCTTTAACTTTGTGTAATTTACTAACAACTCCTATACCAAACAAACAAACAAACAAAATAATTGTTGTTAGGCCCTGATATCTTAAATGTGGATAAATCTTACTCCAATATGTAGTAAATTCCTTCATCTAACACATTATGAAATCAGAAAATACTTTTTGTGCATCTTTGATACTGAAAAATTGGTTGAAGGCAAAATGCCTGTATATCTGTGAACAAAGCTAGCTTATAAACCATAGGATTTTCACCAAAATTGACTTTCCCCAAAAGATAAGGCTGATTTGCAGTCCCCTTAAATTTGAAACTGTTATTTTGTGATATTTTACATAAGCCCTCAACATTTTCACAATGTTCTCAAAAATTGTGTACGTCTCATTTTTGTCAATTATCTGAATTTTGGAAAATTACAAAAGTTAATTTTTTGTTGTCTTTCTACATCTACAGTATTGAAATGGCGACATTTGCTACAAATTAAATTATTCTCAACAATTAATTCTTTACTTAATGTCATGCTTTTTTTTATTGAAAATAGTGTTGAGTGAAATAAGGACAAAGAACAAGATTTTCTGAAACACACCACAAAATGTTTTCTTTTAACTTTTTGAAAGGAAACATCCAAATGCACAATAACATGACATAAATGTTTTTTCAAAAACCACTGTCATCCAAAGAAACTTGAAAAATCACATTATTTTACCCATTATTCTCATTTTAAAATTTTGACATTTTACATTAATGCACTTTCTTAAATTATTTACCTTCTGATGACGGATTTGAAAAGTAATTAGGATTAAAATCGATAATTTTTGCCACTATTTGAACAAAGTAAGGCAATGATTCAGTTCATATTATAAAGAAAATATAACAAATACTGTCTTTCTTTAAAAATGATTTATTTCCTTCCTGAATATTTTACATGAAATCCAACTACTAATGTAATCACAGTCAAGAAGGTTTCTAGTCACATCATTCTAGAAAGGAAGAATAGATCATAAATCTAAAATGGCACAATTAGTATGTTCATATTGCAGCAGGTACAACAGAAATTGTACAACCATTAATTACAATTCATAAGATTTGCATTCACTGGAGGATGGAGTAGATTTTCACAATAGACAAATATTCATAACACACACAGCAAGACACACTTAACACATCCATAAGAACATACCTTACAACAGTTTCAACAAATGTTTTAACATACAAGGAACACGGTAACAAATATCACATTCTTTTGACTCTTGTAAGCAGATATAAAACTGTATTCCTATTTCTCATTCAAGAAACTGCTGGGTCAGTCATTTATGATTCCATTACAATTGCCAACCCTACCAACAACCATTATGTGAGAACATGGTAAGCCTTTACAATTTCAATTGGTCAGAAAAGTGATTACCTTCCTTTTGTTCTATTTTATGACCAGTGTTGCTATAACATTACTATTATTTTATTAACAATAGTTTAAAGGGTAATCAACACTGTGAAATTCTCAAGTGTTTCAGTTAAAGCAACACAGGCTTTAAAAACAAGCATGTCGACTGGTGTTGGAGCTCATACATTTCTGCACAACTTTCCCAATCAAAGGAAAATGTGCCATTGCTGGAGACACAATTGTAAAGGGAATCCCTTCTTTTTTTAAATAAAAAGCAAAATAATTAATATTATTAGTATCTGTTCTAGTCAATGATGACAAACAAACATCACAAACACAAACAGTGATTTTCCAATAACATTTCTTTTCTTGGTTTTAATTTTTTTCTTTTAGGCAAGATCTAACACAAGAGTTGAAGCAGAAGTTAAATCAGGAGTAGCTAGACTTATTTATCAAGGATACAAAAACTATCTAAGAAATTAAAACTGACTAAATAGAACTAGGAATACTAATAATTTTGTTTGTTTTTTCTTGTTTACCTTATTTCTTTGCTGAGATGATTCTTTACTCTGTTTTTGGACAATATACGCAACTTGCCCCTTAATATCACAAACAATTTTTATATTCAATAAATGAGTTTAAAAATAATTAAAATCTTCATTAAGAAATTAGAATAACGGACAATTGCATATCACTTTTTATTCTCAAAAGATTTTTTTTTTTTTGTTCTTGGAATATTAAAATATCTCTTCTTTAAAATCTGTATGTTTTCAACCAGAAAATATTTCATCAAAGCATCTTTTTTGTTAAGAGTTCTGTAGACTAATTTCATTGTAGAAAATGCATTGCAGAGGAAACCTTAAAAGACCATTATAGCAAGGGTACTGCAACATAATGTATTTTTTAAGGTAAGTTGAGAAATTTTTCAAGTAATGTTAATTAATATAACATTTTTCTCAAAAATTGAAAATAACACAATAAAGCTCAAGTCAATAGTGGCCCAGAGAGGTTAATACAGCTAGAAAACTAAATCAAATTTGCTTCATTATAATTCTTCTGCAAAATAAAAACAAATGACATCTGATCTATTAATTGCCGTTTGATTGTTAATAACAGAGCAAATTTTTAATAAATGTAAATAACATTAAAACAATATTTCAATACAGTCTGTAGTGAAAATTCTTTGACAAGAATTTCCAGGAAGTGTTATGAAAAATGTTTACTCAAGAGAGAATAACAAATGAATAAGACATAAAAAAGTCTATTATATAAGAAAGATTACGCAATTTTTTTAACATTTTCACTAAAGATTTCATCATTATCACTACAGAATAAAGTCAGGATCAGTCATAATATTTACTTTTCTTTCACTATGAATGTTTTAAAAATTTTTTAGTTAGCAGTGCACACAATTTCAGAATATTTTAAAGCTTATTAAATTATGAACATGTGAACAAGCAAGAGAGACACAAGAATCGCACTTCCCTAACAAGAAATAACAAACGTTCTTCACAAGTACAATGAATGCAATGAAGTGAACCTACCATGTCCTCAGGTTTTAGCACTAAAAATCAAGGCTTTGGTAATTATCATAATTTCAGCATTACTGTGGTTAATATCCTGGTTTATTGCACAAGAAAAAAATCCCTTTATTGTCAATAAAAATATATAAACTAAGAAAATATTGTTTGGATGATGATTTTCAATTTCTTAACCAAATTTACTACACGAGATCGACAAAGTAATTTATTTTTCAATAATGAAAAGAAATGAATATTCTAGCCAATACAACAAGTAATTCATTACACACACTCCTTCACACGATATACAATAATGAGTACTAGATCTTATAATTTACACTGAGCAACGTAATTATATTTTGAATATGTACACAAATACAATACTCGTCGAACACTTAATGTTCTAGGTTCACATCATTAATATATATGACTATCTACAGAATTGTGCACAATTAGGCTTTGCCAATATGTGTGTATGTGGTATATAAATTTACCAATAGTTGTTTTCCTACAATAAAATTATAAATTTACCTTTGGAATCAAATACTTATTGTTTTGCATCACAATACCACAATTCATAAGCTCAGATCAAGACTTATGCTTTGAAAGGCAAACATCGGGGCATTCATGAACTTATGACTAACAGAACAATATGCAAAGAGATAATCAATATCAGTAAAACTGAGTAAATCCTAAGGCAATCACAAATTGTGATGCTCAGATCTGCTTAAATAATACATAATTATGTACAAGTGTAAACCTCATTCTTATTTTAATTGCAGAATACCATTAATATATTCTAAAATGTATGACCTTCAGTATACTTCTAGTGCACAATGAGGAAGTTCCTCCCTATCAAGCTGTAGAACTTCCTTTTGAATCAAACCATGGAAATCATTAATACATGTTTGTTGCAAGATCATGAAATACCAATCTGAAATGAAAAATAGTCTTCAGTAAACACGTGTGGAATAATGTGCCTAGACACATTTACAACTTTTATTCAGTTGCTCTGGCAGCTACATGAAGTGGAAACATGTATATTATGAAGAGTCTAAAGTTGTGTCAAAGGCAATTAACTTGACGTGGTACTTGAGTATTTTGTGATGTATTTATGAAGTCTGACGTAACGATTCTGTAGAGTTGTATATTATCAAATATGATGTTCTGGACATTTGTCGTTGATTATTTAGAGATATACTTTTGAATTTTTTCAAATCCATTTAAAAGATTACTGTAATTATCATGGGTTTCAATTTTCAAATCCTCTAATTGTTATTTGTGATGAACATGCTCCATGACTGATGACTTTGTAGAATCATTTTTTAAACTATATTCTGCAAAATTATTTGTAATTGACTATTATTTTGAAGTTCTAAACGCTTTTTAGAATTATTAAGTTGATTTTTTATTGCCTATTCTTTTGGTATACTTATTAACAGATTCTATGATAATAAATGTAATGATCAAAAGCATAACATTAGTGCATTTTAGTGCCTTCTTGAGTTTGGAATGCTGATGTTTTATGGCTTTTTGTAATGACATAGAATTAATTCTGTATATTTATCTCAATCAATAGAATAATCAAAAATAAATTTTCGCATTCTCAAAGTCCTTCAGCTAAGGCTCTATTGTGTACTAGAATTAATTCATCACCTATAATACAAAAATGACAAAAAACAATGATTCTAAGTGTTTTTAATTAAAATACAGCCAATTAATTCATTTCAAGTAATCAAAATTAAAATTAAAATTATACATCATACAACAAAAAAATATTAACTTCCTGAAATTTTCCCTCTTTGAATTTTTCATGCAATTAATGGAGGTCACATATTGAAGAAAGAGAAGGAAATTGACCTTACACAGAATTTGATATGATGCTATTATAAAAAAAAGCATCACAACCCAAACACAACATTGACCAGTATTGAACTACTTTATATTTTAGGACACATGAAACTTATCATATTGTAAAGGTTTTCACTCAAAACCTAGCAGAAAATATAAAATAAATAAATGTCAGACTTAAGAGGCAAGTCAATACCTGATGAATGCCTTTCAATCACAGCGAGGTCAGACATTGGTCGTGGCAGCTTGAGTCTGCACAACTGGATTTTCAGTTCTTCGGAATGTCACCCAAGTATACATTAAACTACCGAAAACACTCACGTTAATTCCAACAAAATTTATCACGGAAAATACATAGTCACCGCCTATAAGCATACCCAGATAGGTCACACAAACATTTTTGAGACATCCTATCACTGTAGTTGTAAGAGCAGAGTTATGTAAAGTACACAAGATCACACTATATGATAGTACAAATCCCATTACACACGACATAAAAAACTGAATAAGAAACAATACGTCATCCCATTTTTGAAATCGAGCAGCAGCATCCAGATCACCTGTGAAGGTAGCAATGGCAATAGCTGGAAGTAGCATGAATAATGAATTATAAAACATAAGACCATATTTACCAAGCTCTGCAGCATCTAATTTTTGTTTCATTACTACACCATACACAGCTGTAAATAAATCACTGAGAAGCACTAGAGTATATCCTTTAACACTAAAAGCTAAATCATTACTGGCAGCAATGAAAGCTCCTAATATCATTGTATACACTGATAATTGCACAGCAATGCGGGGTTTCTTTCCTAAAATATAAAACTCCCCTAACATTGTCATAAGTATTGAAAACCTTCGAAGCACTGTTAGCATTGGGAGAGATAATTCTTTGGTGCCTCCAAGACCAAAAATCATGTTCCCTATGTATATAAGGGGTAAAGGAAAAATTTTCTTGAAGATGTCAAACTCAAATGATGGAAAACTAAGGAGGTTAATTCTTTTTGCAACATACAAGAGAATAACAGTTGCTGTCATTTGTCCAATACCTAACACTTGGAATGAAGGAAATTGATAACTTGTGAGCACTGTCTTGTTCACAACAGTTATCATAAAAGATGCCAAACCATAAAAGATTGCTGATCCAATTCTTCTAAATACTAGAGATTTCTCTTCCAAAGTCTCATCACTGAGAACCCTCATTTTGGATATAAATATTGCACACATAGAGTGCAGCTTCATCCACAATGATTAGTACTGTCAGCTACAGTCAATGTTTAAGTACTGTATAGAACAATACAGTTAAGTCTTGTTCTATTCAACAATAACATTTTGCCTGAAATAAAAATGGGCCAATATACTAATAAGAATTTTCACTTAATCTTAATAAAATGAAATATTGAGCTATAAATATATTATATGTGTAAAGTAATAAAAATGTGTAAATGTTTTAAAATATTCAAGCTTCTAAATATGATTAATTAAAACTAACGAATAGTAAGAACTGATAACATTTATAAAATACATGATAATGAAACAAAAACAGCAAACATTAGAGAATGAAATGCATTACGAATTATACGTACGGATGTCAACATCAAAACCTTGTGAAGATAAATATTTAGAAGAGTATACTCTTTTAAACAACTTCTGACATTATGGACTAGATACTTTTTCGCAAAATGTTTTATCAAATCACACACAACAATAATCTATCCAACATCCCATCACTCCGTTCTTTTTTTCGTCCAATAACCTCACTTCTATACATGTGTACTACACCCCATATCATTACACAGTTGAAATAATATAATTGCGATATAATTCACAATTCTGTACACTATTGTTCAAGAATAAATGTTTCAAAACAATGGTTAGTCATGACACTGTATGTGAACACGACATCCGACGAACGCCGATGGACACCACAATCACCACAAACGCCGGAGCGTCAGTCCGCGCAATCCAGCGCAAACTGGGCGCAAGCCGAACAAACGCAACGTGCATACGTGTACGTGCGAGTCGATGTGACTTCTGAAACACACTGTGTTTGCTTCTGCGATGTCCCAAAGCAGAAGGCCTTGCGCCAACGACCTTGAAAGCAGATAATAGTAAAAAGCTCTCTCATATTATACACACGGTCTCAACCCGAGGTAAAAATGCTATCGAGAAATGGGAATGATAACTACAGAATGAGTACTTGACAACGATTTTGTTGCCATATTTTCCTGGGTACAGTGATGGGCCTATCAACGACGTGTCAGAATCGCAGTTTGTACAGCGCATTCAGTACAGAATTGGATTCCTTAAAGAATTAATTAAAATTGTGATTAAATATAAATACGGTACTAGTACCAGAGTTATTCAATCCGTTATACCAAAAGACATAAAAAAGTTAATATAAAATTAAATAATGTAATGGATTTTTTGGTTTCATTTAAACATTGTTTGCTTCTTTATTAACAAATCTTGTCCTTTTTGAATGATTAAAAACATTGTATAAATTTAGGACTTTTATTGAATGTACAAACCTGGTCGTTTGCACCAACAAACTTTTGGAAACTTCATGTCCCACGTGAATAATTTGCTTAATAAGCGTTGGCAGGGGAGATACATCTGCTCTTCTTAAATATTCGATCTTCTAAACTTTTTTATATAAAATATACAACAAAGCATACTATACACATTAAAAAAATTAACTCTAAAATTAATTAGAAGACAACATAACTCTTGCTCTATCAATTCAGGTACCCTTCCCTTTCATTACTTCCCTCTTCTTCTTTTTCTTCTTCTTCTTCTTCTTCTTCTTCTTCTTCTTCTCTTCTTCTTCTTCTTCTTCTTCTTCTTCTTCTTCTTTCTTTCTTCTTCTTCTTCTTCTTTCTCTTCTTCTTCTTCTTCTTCTTCTTCTTCTTCTTCTTTTCTTCTTTTCTTCTTCTTCTTCTTCTTCTTCTTCTTCTTCGTTCTTCTTCTTCTTCTTCTTCTTCTTCTTCTTCTTCTTCGAGTTTCACCCCCGTTTGCTCCCATTTTTTTCTCCGAAGCTTCTCCATCTTTTTTCTTATTCTTCTCAGTCTTTTGAATTCGATTTCGTATTTTCTTTTTACCGTTTTTTAATTTCCTCTCTTTTCTTCTCCTGTTCCTATATTCTGCATCTCGGATACAATTTCTATGGAACCATGATTGCAGGGGTAACTGTAACGGAGCTTGTAACGCATGAACGTCAGGCGGGTTGCGTCAAGCAGGGTGGCATCTATGGAAAGAGCTCGGGTTACCCCGTATTGATTGATTGATTGATTCCTAGTGGTTCTGGGGCCGTCCAAGGCTAAGGTCGTTATTCCCCTTAGTACAAGTTTTTACTCGGGAGGTGGCGGTGATCTTCCCCGCTGGATGGTGCGCCCCGGCGCCGTCCTACCGTCGGCTAATGAGGGTTTCCTCAATCAGGTATCTCCCACATGAGGGTCACCGACCCAGCCCGGACAAGCTCGAAGCCACCGGTCGCTCTCCCGGCATGTGTGGTAGTGTAGTGCGTGTTAGTGTGTGTAAGAGGTAGGGTAGGACTAGGAATAGGAATGAAGTATCGCAGGCGATCCTTGGCCTTCTTTGGTAGGGTACTGCTCCAGCATTCACCTGGAGTTGATCAATGAACACACGGAAAACTATCGATATGGCCAGCTGTCCCTTACAATCCTCCTCCATACAGCGACCTCGCTATCTGGTTAGTGTAGAAAACCCTACCACCCTCGAGGCTCGAACTTCAGGACCTCACTGTTAGAGACACTGCAATGACATCAGCTGTTGCCGCTGAGCCACCTCTCCCGCAGGGTACCCTCGGATAAGACAGTAAAAAATTCCTTAAAACCAAATGACGTATGAGTTGTTAATCTATAACTCTAACAGAACTAGTGGTGCTACAGAATGGCACAGAATGACCCGTACTAGTTTTCTATTTCCTTAAAAAATTTCGTTCACGAAGCGCTGGAAATAAGAAGCGGGCGTCTATGTTTGACGCCGAATTACTCCAAAAATACATTTTCTTAAAATTCAACATGACCTTATTTAAAAATCTGTTTTTGATGAACTCATTTCATTAAGAAACTGCTACAGAATGGAACAGACTTTCCCATATTAGTTTTCTAATTCCTTTGGCCTCGGCTAGCTACACGAACTTGCCACACCCTCTTTGTCAGCTGCTATCTATCGCCGCCCAAAGTACATTTTTTTGAAATTTTCTTTATTTTTCGGTTTCCTAATTGTAGAACAAAAATATAATTTTAAGAATATTAAAGAACAGTAAAACCTCGCCCTAAATGGCAATTTTCTTTGAAAAATTGGGATCTGTTTTTGAGAAAATGGCGCATATGCGCTACTATATATTCAAAATTTAAAGCTCTTTTTCACAGAAAATATTTGAGTTTTCGAAAAACTTATTTGAAGCACATTAATTCACATATACAATAGTGTTTACAAATTGCTGGAAATGTGCATATTAATGGCGTGAGAGATATTTAAAAAAATGTGTAAAATTTGAAGAAACAAAAAATACCTTAAAATGAACTTTACATCATATTAAACAGTGCAAATAGTACTAGCCGTTCAAAAGGTTTGAAGAATAAATTTGGAGCCTTTTTGAAAAAATGGCATTTGAGCGTTATATGCGAAATTTTGAGTTAGCTTTCACAGAAAAACTTGAGTTTTCGAGAAACTTTATATGACACCATTAAAAGCATATGTACTCATCAATATAATAATGTGAACGAATTGCCCCTAATGTAAATATTAACGTTGTGAGAGACACGTCAAAAACATTTTTTTATAATTTCTGAAAAAAACAAAATAGAGCAATATTGCATTTATGTCATCTCATAGAGTACATTTATCACTATCCCTACCCAAAGTTAAAAGGAAAAAAATTGAAGCCATTTTTGAGAATATCTTATATGTTTTTAAAATTGCAAATATTGCAAGCAATATTGTGCGAAAACTACTAAAATTAAAAAAAAATGGGATGAAATTAATGAAAGAACTAATACAGCTGTTTGCAGCTCTTTTAAGAATTTTTTTAAGTTTTAGAAAGACGTCATTTGAAGTACTTTATCTCGCAAATACAATAGTGTTTACAAATTGCTGGAAATGTGCATATTACGGCGAGAGAGATCTTTTTAAAAAAATTACATTTGTGTCATATTTGAAAAATCTAAAAATACCCCAAAATGAATTTTACGTCATATTAAACAGTGCAATCAGCAATATCCCATCGAAAAGTTAAAAAAAAAAAACATTGAAAAAGCGACTAAAATTTAAAAAAATTTCTTGACCGTAATGAAAGAAGAAGAATGGTGAAATGCCAGTGACTTAATAGGACCGACTCGTGGTAATGGCCCTCCGCACGTTGCAGAGGGGGGTAGGGCTTACGGAGCATAGTGAATCTGTCGGATCTTCTATCTCGCTATCTCTGAATCTACTATGCGCGAAATGTAGATTCAACGCCGAAAACGAAATATTGAGTTCTGTTAAAAAGTGGTAAATGATTTAGCACGGGGAGTAAAACCTACAGAACGTGATTTTATGATGAGACCTCTTAATATAAAATGTATGACAATTTACTTTCTACGCAAAGAGATGCAGTGCGAAGTTCATTGTTCCATGAACTCTGTAAAGAATTCTGTAATATACACTACTGGACATAATTGTCTTGTCATCTTGCCTCAAAATTCATATTATATTTTTATCTAAAAATGCCTGCTTATTTATCAATAAAATTTTTGAACATACGTAGAATAAATTAAGTCAGTATAATATTGAATCCTTTCATGAACATGTTCAGTTGGAACATAAATCGTTGCAAATTATTTAATTATTTACGTCAAAAACAGTTAAAAACTGTGCCTGACGTGCTATGGGGAGAAGTTAATTTGAAGTAACATTTATGTCCAGCAGCAAAACAAGGGGCCACCTCAGCACTTGCTCAACGATCAGGGAAACGGGACGAAAACCTGATCGAGATGGGGGTCATTGACCCAGAAGACGAAGTTCAATACTTGTTACAGGTTCTTTAAAATCCAAATGATTTATACAATCCAAATGGTAAATAATACATTAAATGTCATTGTTAAAATTAATATTACTTTCCTTTTGGATTGTGGAACAAGCACGAAGATTGTGCTCCTCTAAGGACATATGTTCCGAAATTTATAAAGTATTACAAT